TTTCATCTGACACATCATCACCAATAATTATGTTTTTAAGATGTGTATTCAATAAAATAAACAACATTAATGCAGAGAGTTTAAATATTTTAAGTTCTGGTCTAATGTATATTTATAAAAATAATATGCATAAATACCACTTTATGACCAAACAGCTATTAAATTTGGATTATATTACACATTAGGGCTAACCCTGAAATTGCCTTAGTAGTCTACATTAAGCCTTTAGTTCTGACGCCTATCTCATCTAACTGGGAAGTTATGCTGAGCTTCCTGCTTTGAAGTTGAATTGGGCTTTCAACTGTTTTGTAACCTTAATGGATAGAGACACCCATCTCTCCTAAGGCTGGGACATACCAGCTGCATAGCTCCTGTCCACAGTGTCCTGTTTGGCTTACTGCCCTTCTGCAGTCCTTTTCCTGCTTGCTGCTCCCCTTGTGAGATGCAGTGTGGAAGGGGTGTGATGTCTAACGTGGCGAGCAGCTGCCCGTGTAAAGCAGGAAGAGGGTGATAAAATAGTGGATTCCTAGAAAATTCTTTAACTGGCTTCAACATCTATCTAGGTATTGTTATAAGAAGAGTTAGATTATTCTTTGCATGTGTGAAAAGTGTCTTAAATTGCAGAATGGGCAAAAGCAAAAGTGCAGTGATCGGCAAGTACAATTAACTTAATATTTCCCTACTTCCAAGGTCTTTCATCTTTCTTTCCTTACCTGTAAGATGCAATTGTTACTGGAAAGCACCAAAGCCTTCACGCAGAGGAATTAAATACTACAAGTCAGCAAAAAATGTAGATAATCCCATGTTGCTAGTACTCACTGATATCCAGGTTTCATGTTTAGAACTAAGTCTTTTTCTTTCCGTTCTTTCAGTTTAAGGATTTACTAAAGCAATAATGTATTTGTAATTATACTGTAAAATTAATGTGGATTATGTAACTCACTAAAGGCATTTCTACTATTTAAAAAAATTACTTCCATCACATGATCCTTGAGGTCTTTTCCCAGCCTTAATGATTCTGTGATACTATGTAGATATAACTGTGCAGACAAAAGCCTAATTAGAAATGTACTGGTTTTCCTTTATTCAGCATATAATTTACATTGTGAGATACTGCCTTATTTAGTTGCCAGGTTATAACTTAATGTTTGTACATTTATTTTGCAGATCATTGAAAAAAATGTTGCTGTCTGCAGTAAACTAATATGTATTTAAGATCTTAGTATACAACCAGTAAAGTTACCTTTCCACACTTTTTTTTCCTTATTCAGGAATTTCCACCTTCCTTTGAAGTTATGAGGAAGTAAAATATTTTTCATTGGCACTCGTCTTTTTCTATAACTTTACTCATTGGATCGAATGATTATTTTCTTAAGCATTTTCAAAAAGCAGCAAATCTGAGGGGCTGTCTTAACATTCAAAGTATCCATCTTAAGACTGTTTTATTTCTCATTTTATCCTGCTAATTTCATCACTGAATTACTGAATTCTCCAGCTAATGTAGTTCAGTTCTTTCCCCATCATTCCCTAATTATAGCATGGTTTAAATCTGCCAGAACTAACTTATTGAAATATTTGGCTTCTCTCCAAAGGTATCAAGTTTCATTAGAGAACAGGCACATGAACAGTTTCAAATGATAGTTATTTCTCTAAAGGAAGAGTTTTATTCCAAGGCAGACGCGTTAATTGGAGTGTGTCCAGAGGTAACAATTAATTACTGCCAAATTTTGTTAAATAATACATGCTGGTTTCTGTTGATGTACTGATTTACACCTTAAGCGTTACTACAGTGAACGTAATCATGTACGTAATTGTGTTGCTGGATTTGAACTACTTTGTGTGCAGAAATAACTGCAGTTACTGTCTCAATGAAAAGATCATTTTGGTAACTCAAGCTCATTATTGTATCATAGTAATTTACAAAATACTTCTTTCACATAACAGAAATGTTTTAAATTTTATGATCCTTCCTCTTGACAGCATGATGACTTTATGTTCAGTCGAGTACTGACTTTGGATCTAACCCAGTATCCAGACGCTGATGACCAGGAAAGAACAGAGAAGCACTAAGTTTCAGAATAAAGCATGGATGATTTCAGGGCCAGGTGTTTACAGTGGACTGTTACAATTCTGAGTTTGAATGTTGCTATTAGATGTACCTAGAGAAATGTTGACCTTTCAAATTAAGCAGTTTTCTAAAATATTGAATGAAGAAACTGTTATTCATTGATACGGTTTTGTTAATACATAAGAGAGCCAGAGGTTGTTACTGAAGTGTGTACATTCTGGTAAGAAATCTTTCTCTTCAAATGTTTTTTGGGGGGTTGCCTTAAGGTGAAGGAATGTGGGTTCACATAACCACACTATTACAAAGAGTAAGCCTCTTGCTTTTCTTACAAAAAGTCCTGTGTTAAGCCACCTCTCCAGTGCCCTGTTTAGGTCCATGCTACCACGGGTCAAGACCTTTACAATCCCTTTTGTGTTGCAGCAGCATCTCTTTGCCTTCAGATGATAGAGTTGCTTTCTATTTTTTAAAAGAAGATACTGGAATCTGGCCATTATCTTATGTGACTTCTGTGACACCCAGTAAGGCTTCTGTCTTCCACTGCAACCTCATGAAAATACTAGTTAACTTTACAAAAGCTCATATCTCTCTATAGGCATGGTATAACCTGTAAAAATTGCACCTTTGAGGTATTCTACCCCATGCAAAAGTGGAAAGAAAGAAAACAGGTGGGAGTTGGGTGCCATAGAGGTAGCAGCCTTAGAAAAAAGTATATTCATTTGCAGTTAAGATTATTATTATGTAGCTGTCTCCCATAAAGTTAAGTCTAAGAAGCAAAGTTAATGAAATTGGTTACAGAACACTGAGAGAGCTTGAATCACTTCATCTGGCTTATGTTTCACCTCAGTGTATGCTGAAGAGCTTTAGTTGGTTTATGGTTGTTCATAATAATTATATCTTCTTATGTTCATATACTGGCTTTGCTTCATCCACCATGCTTGTAATGTGTGTTGCCAACACCGTGCTTGCTGCACACAACTGATGACGTTTGGACATGTGGTGTTACTGCATAAGGAAGGAAGGAATTGTGAGCAGTATGGAAACATGTCGACAACATGAATGTGTCCACTTTTACTGCAGACAGATGTTTATCAAGTACTTACATTGCTGCCACACTTTAGTAAATAAAATAATTTACACTCAGTAAGTTGTGAGTAAGCATCAGTTCCTTCATTCAGAATCCACTGACAGATGTAGAAATACTTACAGTAGTGTGAAGGATGAACAGAAAAGCAGCCCCTAGTGATTTTCAAAGATCTCTGACTCACATCAGTCTGTATATTGCAAATACAGAAGTTTTGGTGTGGTTTGGTTTGTGTTTTTTTAACCATGTGCTAGGATCAGCTGACTGAAATAGAAAAATACAATAAAGAATTGAACAGTCTGAAGAATGGTGAAGCTACACATTTTAGCTAGTATACAAAATATTAACTATTTTATTAAAAGATTAGGCCATCATCAGAGATGTCCCATCAACTTCATTACACAGCTTGAGCAAAACAAGATAATAAATGGTCAACAAGTTTGTTTTTAGTAAATATCTTGCTTTCATTAAAAAAAAAATATCAAGTAGAAGAAGAGCCATCTAGGGTAGAATCAGCAAATGTCATTTAACATGACAATTTGTAGGGTTAACAGATAAATGGAACACTTTCAGGTTCTGTTCCTTTTGACTGTATTTCAAACTGTGAGGTAGCTGCAAGGCGATTGCGTCCCTAAGATGACTAAAATGTATTCTTTGATTGGGGCAGGACACCAAAACCAGGCATTTCTATCTTCTCACTGTGTATGTTAGTAATTAAAATAATCCCTTACTTACTCCTTTGCTTTTCAGGATACAAATAAATGGCATTTGGGTCAGGGGAGGCTGTAGTACAAGTTGTAGTCCAGCAGCATCTACAAAATGGAAGAATCACCAATGCTGTGTGTAAGCTGATCCTTACCAAAGGGAGAGGATGTGATTTCCTAAGGTGCTACATGACGTCAGGGTTGGGCTTAAATAATTGCAGTAATTTTGCTGCAGCTTAAAGCAACAATTTAAGTGTTCAAAGCTGATAAATAAATCAGCATCCAAAATAGCATGACTGATTACTTTTGAAAACAGCTAATTCATGCAGACTAGAGAAGCAAATTTTGGAGGTTAGAGTCTTACAGATAATGCGATGCTAAAAGACTTAATTTTCTAAAGTGATGTATGTGTAAATACCATCTCTCAAGGGCAGAGGATAAGTATGGTCTATATTCTGTCTGGTTTTGCTTTTTATTTTTAACCTTTTAAAAAAACACAGCAGAAACCTTGAGAACTGACACTTGGGGTCCCTAGCAATTTTATCACCTACTAAAACCCAGATATGGTTTCTAAACTGTCAAACATGAAAAACAACTGTGTGTTTTTGTCCTGGGTAGAAGAGACAAGTCAGTTTGCACACATTGTTTAAGATTGCTTTTCTAGGCAAAATGTCTTCAGATCTCTACCTATTTCAGAATAGGGACAAAAGACTTCTACACCAGAAAAATTCTACCCCTCTGAATAGTTATTAGTTTAGAAAGAAGCATGCACCTCACTTTAAAGCTTTTCATTTTGTACACATACATACTAGAGAACAAGCAGAAATTGGTTTTGTGACCTGGGAGTAAAGAGTTGACATACCACAATTCACACAGAAGGGTCATCTGACAGACCCATCACTTCCACTCCCTGTAAAACCTCAGTATAGTGTGATGTGATCTCAGAAGGCCTAACAGATCACATCCACAGGGAATATAAGCAGAGAAATGTGACTGAAGCAATCCCCCATGGGCTACCAGGTATCAACATGCTGGTAATCAGCAAGGAAGGGTCCTGAACACGTTCTTCTGCAGAAATTGAGGTGAGAGGACTAGAATATTTCGGAAGATTACCAATGTCAGCACCTGGACCAGTGATTATGTCAGTTTAGTGCTGAGACAATTCAAAGGTAGGTGAAGTAACAGCACCTCAGAAAAAAACAAACAGTTAATGCAGTGCCTAACCTTAATCATTTGAGTAGTTCAACTGAAGTCAAACTTACACACTATAAATTGTCTACAGATACATAATTAGATACTAACTCATTTCTGCTGCATTACAATTATGTTATGTACTTTGAGATAACTAGTAGTATACGATTTAAACAACTTCAAAATATTTACATAGGAATGCACTGCAAATAGGTAAGCCCACACGTACATGTGGTCTGTCCTTGCTGATACATTACTGTTATAACGTTTTCTCCCCCTGTGATCTCATGCCTTAATAGACTGACAAATGAAAACAAATAATGCTAAAAGTGTAAAATAGGCAGGTTATCATGGTGCAGGTTCTACAGAGATCTGATTCTCAAGCTTGCAAGCAGCCTTGTGCTGACAGACCCCTAGAGTTCAACCTCCAGCAGCCTAACTGCAGTTCAGCTGATAAGAATGAAAACCCCTTTATTTTAAAGGCAACTAACAGTCGCAGGTATGCCAAAAGTAATTTCTGACATTCAAACATGACCTTTATTGTGGCTTCACCTTGGTAAGAGCTGGGTCCAACTGGCCTGAAACACAGGCATAGAAAACTTGCACCTGCTTCTAAATGACCCAGCAGATACAGTTTTAGTAGAGGAAGTGCCTGTAGAGTGACTAGTGTGACTCTCAAGCTTTACACACATGACACATTTGCAGCTCTAGAAAAGAAGGCTAAAATGCACAATTTTTATTTCACTTTAAACCATGGAAATACTCAGCTCAAAACTTTTCATGCAGCAGATGTAAAACACCTACTGTTAAAAAAGCTCCTGGGTTGGGTTTGGGGTTGTTTTTTTTTCATTAAATAGCAGCTATACCATTATCTGGCTGCTTGATTCTCTTAGGAGAGTCAGTGCCATTTTCTCCTAACCTCCTTTTAGCACAATCCACACATGAAGTTCCTGTGGAGGGAGAAGGCAAGGGAAAAAAAAAAAAGAGAAATATTTTAATGTTGCTACATACGTGTGCTCTGTATACTTTTTATTACAAGCACCCAATATAAAGATAAACACAAGATAAACACAGTACTGGTCCACTGAGGTTCTTCTATTTGGACTGTGAATTATAACACTAACCCTACTGAAAGAATCTGCAGCAGTTCAGTTATCTCGAGCTCTTCCCCAACACTGAGCTCTAGTACTAACATATAAAATGGGAAGTAGCTAATTATACAGCTGCCTTTTGAAGAACATAATAATTGACTTTGTGTGATAATGCCTGTGGAGTTCACAGGTGAGAGGCTTCTTTGAAAAGTTTGGATCACTTACTCAGAACAAAATTCTCAGTGTGAGCTACTGTTGCAAGTATAAACAGCATAGCTGGACAGTAAAAATGGAAGGGAAATGCCTTCAAAATCAGGACATCCATCACTTTAAAATCTAGATATATATTTGGGGGAGGGGGGGTATTACACAAATCTGTGTTAAGGAATAATTATCTTTTTTTTTTCCCACTTGCTGTGTATTCCAAAATAAAGTAATTTTAGCACCTATTTACTTGCGAGGACAGTGCTATTAAGTTAGTAAAGAAGCTTTATGTTAAGTAAAACTGGAATAAATTGTGCTCAAGTTTGTTTCTTCTCCACTGACGCCTAGTTGTACTTTACTGAAAAAGGGATGCATTAACACATCTGAAAGACAGATAAGCTTAATATCTAGTTGGAATTACAAAAGTAATCTCCGACTTTACACCTGCCCACAAGTATCTTGGACCTTGTGTACTTTTTGATTGTGAGAAAGTGGGGTGAGGTTTAAACGCCTGCAATGCCAAAGACCCTTATATGCAATAATGAAATTATACTTTCATACAATTTTTATATTATTTGCAGCAGCAGCACAAATATCTTAGAAGTGTTTATCTTTTTAAGTTGAAGTGTTGTTTCAAAGGGAAGTTTTGCTATTTTATATCATAAATTGGAATCTTATGCTCTGCTTATTCACAGAAGCATCACACAGATACCTGAGCAATCCTTAGCCAGAAACTGACCTTCTGTAGTACATGCTTAAGCTTGAGATGCACTCTTCTATACCTTCTCAGGAAGGCATTCAAAATAGCCAAATGTATGTTTGGAAATTTAAGCCAAAACCTCATGGATGTTAGTATTATCTTAGAATGCCCTGACCAGCATTAATAATTTTTTATATATGTTCTCTGGAGCTTTTCCATTCTGTCATTTTATTAACAGCTGGCTTTCAGGTGTAATCTACTAATATATAGAAAGAAAATAAGAGGGTAAAAAGTGAATCTCTTAAGCAGACTTTCAGAGCTAAATCAGAGCACTGCACAATAATCAGTTTGTAAAGTAAGTTACTTATTTTTATCTCTTTGACAGATTATGGAACTTTCTGTGAAAATAAGAACATCACTTACCCAACAGTGTTGTGATGTCCACTCGATCAGCATCTAGAGAAGTATAAGAGACAGCAACAACACAAGTTGGCATCCAAAACGTTTTTATACTTTAATGCAACATCCCAAAATGGCAAGGTTGTATTTAGAATCATCATATGATTGGATTGGAAGAGACCTTAAAGATCATCGAGTTCCCACCCTGCTGCCACGGGCAGGGACACCTTCCACTAGCCCAGGTTGCTCAAAGCCTCATCCAGCCTCCAGGGATGGGGCATCCACAACTTCCCTGGGCAACCTGTTCCAGTGTCTCACCGCCCTTGCAGAAATATCTAATCTAAATTTACCCTCTCTCATATTAAAACCATTATCCCTCATCCTGTCACTATACTCCCTGATAAAGAGTCCCTCCCCATCTCTCCTGTAGGGCCCCCTTTAAACACTGGAAGGCTGCTATAAGGTGTCCTTGGAGCCTTCTCTTCTCCAGGCTGAACAACCCCAACTCCCTCAGCCTGTCCTAATATGGGAGGTTCTCCAGACCTCTGAGTGGACCTCTTTTCACTGCCTTCCTCTGGACTCGCTCCAGCAGGTCCCTGTGCTTCTTATGTTGGGGGAACCAGAGCTGGACGCAGTACTCCAGGTGGGGTCTCACGAGAGCGGATTAGAGGGCGAGAACCACCTCCCTCAACGTGCTGCTCATGCTTATTTTGATGCAGCCCAGGACACGGTTGGCTTTCTAGGCTGCCAGCGCACACTGCCAGCTCATGTTCAGCTTCTCATCAACCAACGCCCCCAAGTCCTTCTCCTCAGGGCTGCTTTCAATCCGCTTATTGCCCAGGCTGTATTTGTGCTTGGGATTGCCCTGGCTCAGGCGCAGGACCTTGCACTTGGCTTTGTTGAACTTCATGAGGTTTGCACAGGCCCACCTCTCAAGCCTGTCCAGGTCCCTCTGGATGGCATCCCTTCCCTCCAGCATGTCAACTGCACCACACAGCTTGGTGTCATCAGCAAACTTGCTGAGGGTGCACTCAATCCCACTGTCCATGTTGCCAAAGATGTTAAACAACACCTGTCCCAATACTGACCCCTGAGGGCTCCCCACTTGGACATCGAGCCACTGAGCACAACTCTTTGGGTGCCACCATCCAGCCAGGTCCTTATCCACTGAATGGTCCTCCTGTCAAATCCATGTCTCTCCAATTTAGAGACAAGGATGTTGTGCAGGACAGCATCAAATGCTTTGCCCAAGTCCAGGTAGATGACGTCAGTTGCTCTTCCCTTATCCACCAGCGCTGTGACCCCATTGTAGAAGGCGACCAAATTTGTCAGGCACGATTTCACCTTAGCGAAGCCATGTTGGCTGTCACCAGTCACCTCTCTGTTTTCCATGTGCCTCAGCATAGTTTCCAGGAGGATCCGCTCTATGATCTTGCTGGGCACAGAGGTGAGACTGAGTGGCCTGGAGTTCCCTGGGTCTTCCTTTTTTTCCCTTTTAAAAATGGGGGTTATATTTCCCCTTTTCCAGTCAGTGAGAACTTCCCCAGTCTGCCACACATTCTCAAATATGATGGATAATAACTTAGCAACTTCATCTGCAGACTGAAAATTCTACCAGGGCATGATTTTGCTGCAGCCCAGGCTACCTCCAATCTTGACCTCTCTGAGAAGTTCTTCTGCGTTAGTGAGCAATAGGTCCAGCAGCATCTCTCGTGTGGTCAGGCTGTCCATCATCTGTACTAGGAAGTTGTCCTTAATGCACTCCAGTAGTGTTCTGGACTGCTTGCAGTTCATTGTGCTGCTTTTCCAGCAGATGGCCAGGTGGCTGAAATCCCCTATCAGGATCAGGGCCTGCATTTCTCATTTCTTTCATATAACCCTTTTAACAAACTCCTTCTGATATTTTTTAAAAGAGTTTGTAAATAAGCATGAAAAATACAAAACCTGACAGTTTGGTAAGGTAAAGAGCAGTTATGCACATTTGAATACAGTTTTGTTTAGGATCTTGGCTTGTAAACGAGATCAACAAGATTTTGAAGTCAGAGTAAAGTCCCTCTTCTGGCAAGTATGATGCCAATCAGTAGTTCCACTGAACAAAAAGAGGAGCATTATAGTCTGATTGTGGTGCTTAGCGACATGGTTTAGTGAGGTGGTGTTGGGTTGGACTTGATGATCCTTGAGGTCTTTTCCAACTTTAATGATTCTATGATTCTATGATTCTGCAGTCCTTTACATTTAGAGCTTACATAAATGTATCACCCATGCTGTTTTGATACTGATGGCTGCTTTGCAATAAATTGGATACTCCGCACTCAACAGGCTCTAGACGCTGCTCAGACTATGAAAAGTATGTCCATCATATCCATCAACAGCAGTATGTCAAAGAACAAACCAGCAGGCTGAGGCTAGTTCTGTGTCTGAAATTGCACCCCAACTTGTTTTAGGTGTCTACACTGCAGACAAACTTCCTGAAACTTACATGCTGTGCTGAATTTTTCAAGCCTTCAGGGAAAGAAAAATCTAATCCAGTCTAAATGTAATATACATCCAGTTACAAAACCTATTACATTATTTGGGCATACACCTGCAATTTTCTTTAGAGAGGGCAAGGGGGGTTCCTGCTATGCACCGCTTGTCAAGAATTCTAGCCAAAACAGTTTCACTGACATGATAAGTAAGAGAGCTGTGAAACAGTATTCTTCCCAAGGTCATTTATGCTAGTTATTTTCCTCAGTTCTCTGGATAAGGCATAGCAGAACTGTCCTTGTTTGGAAAACATTAAAGAAATCTCTCTCCTGCAACACAGAGTTGTTGGTTTTCCCTGGTTTTGCGTTAAGAGCTCTTTATGGTTACAGCTAATTAATTTTATGAGAGAAAACGGGATAGAAGGGGACAGGGAGGGAAGTAAGTGAATGGATCTAGTAGTAAAATTTAGCTCCCTGCCCATGCAGGACCATTACCTTCAGCAAAGGGATGGCGTCATTTCCCATTTTAGCATTAAATGCCCCCTACAGAATACCATTCACTGTCACAAATAGAGCATTATTCCACAGCCTCTTCTATTTTATTGTCACAAAACATGGTCCTTACACTCAGGTTTTCTCCCCCTTCATCCTGTGTTAAACCAAATGCTATTAGATGCACTGATTTAATTTCCCATTCTATGCTTAATCAGATATTGTGGCTCAACCAACTTAGCCCCATCAGTTAATTTCTTAAATTCTTTTAGTCTCTTTCACTGACATTTCGTATTTCATACACTGTAATACTCAATACACTGGAGTAGTCCAGACCAAAAAAAAAAAAACAAAAAAACCAAAACCACCAAACTAAACATCTTAACCAAATGCTAAACAAAAAGAAACTCAGAATTAAAGATTAAATTTGAAGGAAACCACAACCTTACAGAAAGAAATTTGGTTACAATTCTGTCACGTGTTCCAACTCTGTATGCCATTCAGAATCAAAGATGTTGTACCGGTCTACCGCTAGCTATGCACGAGGTCGACACCTCAGACCATCTGCTAATTGTTCAGACACAGCATCCTGATTTGTACCTACTCAAAATTTCCTTATTAAATAGGATACATTACCTGGACTTCTCTGCTTGCAGATTTGAGCAGTGAGATCTTGTACGTACACTGGGAATTGTTTAAAGCAGTCCCTGTAAGACACTACTTTTATTCCATGCAGCAGCATATCTGCCTGGAGCTTAAAAAAGTGGTCTTCATTTTCTTTAAGCACCAACATATAATGTTCTAAATCCACTTTATTCTTTACAGTATAAAGAAAAAGAGCTTAGAATATCTGATCACGCAGAGTCTCTCCACAGCCCAAAAACAAAAAAGACTTGGTTCGATACAAACTTTGAAGAACTTCCTGTTAAGAAATATAAACACACAAGAGCTATATTTACTTCAGTAGTCAAAAGGCCAAGGTAAGAACTTTTAAAATATGTCAGACTTAAAAGAAGCAGCAAAGCAGGCATAACTGTTGAACTGAATTAAGCATATGTTTTAGGATCAGAGCAAACTGACATTTTCGTAAGCACTGTTTCTACAAAAAAATTTAAACTCAAAGTTGCCATACAAAATGAAGTCCATATGTAAATATTTCCCATAAGGGAATTTTAGATTGAAAGGATTACAATGACAGAATACTAGGCTCCCATTAGGTCAATCTGTAAATAAGGAAAATTAATATTTTTGACCAAACATCTGACTTCCCAAAGTACCTAAGATATGACATTAAGTCCAGAATCCAGAGCTGGTAACAGCTTAAGCCCCTAAAAAATGAATCCAATCCATCATATGCTGATGAATCCTTTTACCTAGTGTCTAATACTTTAGGGCTGTTCTTCAACGAGATAAGTACGAAGAACTCTAAAATTATGACATACAGCTGAGGGTTTTGATTGTGATTTACAAAGCAGCAATAAACAAGAGCATACATTGCCCTAGCAACATAGCTGGCTTTCTGAATACTGCCACTTTTCTGGATCACAATTACTTAATCTATGGGGTATGGCAAAACCCTAGCCTGAAGTAATGTGTATGCAGTGATTACAATAAAATACTTTGGCAAAACATGGTAAAAATTTTAAAGATCACACAAACCATGACTTCAGGATCTTGAGTAACATCTCTATATCCTGAGGGATCTAACACCATTCCACAGGGATCTGTATATAAGCCGTGAATATGAAGAACTCCATATTTTATATGACCTCTTGCCCACTGAAGAACCTAAAGGAAATCATGCAAGTTACATTCTTTTGTTATACTGTTATAACTGAGATTCTGGAAAAATATACAAGCTTTCCTAACTTACAAACCCACTTAAAGCAATAGTAACTTATTTTGCACTTTTCTGCAGCAAGAGATAATTTCAATTGCTAATTTCACTGCTTACCTGAAGTTATTATAAAGAGGTGATTGCTGATACTGAAGATATCTCTGGCTTTTTGGTCTAAACAAGCATTCAACCAAGAAGCAAGTTTCAGCAATGCTGACAGCAAATTAACTACCAGCTAGGTGAAATCAAGTTTGTGGTTGTAACAATTACTTCATGTAAGTTAAATTTAAATTTGTGAGATATTTTTGGAGGTGGGGGGATTAATTAATAAATGTGTCACTGAAATTCTGTTTGGTAACTGTTACCAGATTAATTCAGAATAAAAAGATAAAGACAATAAATGTCTGTGCATCTGCTGTTACCTTTCAGACATGCGTTGCCAATTAAGAAGCTTTAGCCTTGACAGTCTTTAAACAGGAAAACATCTTTCAACAAAGCTTACGAGCTGCCTTCTCTTACAGTAAGTCTAAAATTTTTACTGCTCTCATCATACCTTATCCTTATCTTTCAAGTCTAAAGATTCCATAGGTTTACTCTGTTGCTGACCAAATATTTCAAGTAAATTATCATAGTTTGTTGTCAGAACCATTGTGCCTCTCTCCATGAGTCTCAGGATTGACTGCAGAACAACAGGATTCTGAATGTGCTGTTCTAAATTATCAAACACCTCCATTAAGCAATCCTGGAAGAAGTTGGGCTTCATATCCCCAGTACGCAGAAAAAAGAAAAAGATGAGCACTTCATAAGGACCATGTGCACGTTACAATTGCCTCCAATAGAAAACCCACATAATTTGTCTACTTAATGCCAAAGCTTTTCTTTAAAAGAAGGATGACACAGCATACCAAGCATAAAGGTCTGAATGTACAAAAACATCAAAAACAATCTCAAATTATTCAGGTGCTCTTGCTTCCTCTCAGTGTAGCTCAAAATAATAGTCTGGTTTTCTCGAGGAAGCCTGTAATACAGACACAATGAAACAAAACTATTTTGGTACAGTTAAATCCTCACTCATCAATTCTAGACAAACATGAAGGTACTGCTTTCCTACAAGCACAGGCTGCATTTGTCCAGAGCATCTTCTGAGACTGACAGAAACCTGTAACAATTCTATAAAATACAGAGATTTTCTATTCAGTAAATTGTATTGCACACAGAACAAATGTCTGTTTATAAGCCCAATATAGTTACTGGCCTACCTACATGGAAACTTCACCTTTCTCAGTATGCTTTTACTGCTCTGAAGATCAGTTAGCATACTAAAATTATCATTCCTTGGATTCAGAGTCCAGGATATACTATTAGAGGGGTACAGGGTTTTTGGTTTTGTTTTGCTTTTTTCCTTCCTGGTTGAGAAAAATTTATCAAGTATGAAATCTTCTGCAAAGCCTAACCATACACACCAACTCCTCCCAAAAGAGAGATGTTATTATTACACTTTGCCTGTAGAGAAGCTCACCACGTGTTGCAAAATGCTCAACACATCCCACAGCTTAGTAGTATGTATGTCACCCTAATTATTTCAACTAGAAGACTTGGCAAACCTATTAAAACAATCTGAAAATCTCTGGAGCCTACAAAAGAACTGCTGAGAAACTGGGCATGTATGGACTGTCTTCAGAGAAGTAGTTTGTGTTATCTAAGGCTATCAGTAGGCTCAAGGTCTACCCGTATTTTCAAAGTCTCTCTAGTTTCAGCCAGCAGAGATATAATTCCTCTTTCAGGTCCAAGAAACATAATTGAGAATATTTAATAGTCAGGACTCCTGCTTGCATTAATTATGATGAAAACTTACTTACACTGAAAAACAAGGATTTTTTTAGCCTCTCCAAAACGTCCAGTGTACTGTATGATTACCATCAAAATTTCAGTTTTTACCAGAAAAATATCAAGTTTTAGAAAGGTGAAAAGAATTTTTGCTGATAGCAAAATAGAAGCATATAATAATTTTAGAAATGAATAGAAGCTATAAACATACTCACTGGGGACATTCTCCTGATGAGATCATGTGCAACCACAAGCAGGTCTCTATCTTTGATTACTTTTTTACGAAATTCAGTGACATCTCCTGCATGAAGCACCTCCAGCTGTTCAGCTGCTTCAATTACAGCCTCAATGCAGCTTCTCCAGGAGCACAGCGCTGGGATTCCTGGTGCTACTGCAGCACTTACTCCGGTTCCAATCACAAGAAGAAGGTCCCGAGGCCGCTTTCTTATTAGACTTTTTAAGAATTTTCTTTAAAAGAGAAAACAAAAATCTTTATTTTTTACAATGCATTTTCTAACTTTTCTGAAGATCTGATGACTGACTCAAGAAGTCCATTATCAACTATTAATGCTTGTGCAAAATAATAACCAAAAGGAACCGAGTTCTCCATTGCTACGCAGAAGAATGGTATTGGCAGCAGTTCACAGCCTTCCCCAAACCAGCAATGTACTTTAAGCTTTTTTGTCATTTTAGACAAGTAAGTGTGCATAATTCAGCAAAAAAAAAAAAAAAAAGGCAACAACCTCTAATCACCAATGTCTTTAAGGTCAAAACTGACAATTACCATTTTTCCGTCCACTGGGCTAGCAAAACACCATTTCAAGTGAAATTTTGAAAAAAGTAGTCAAAGGACTGTCCAGTTACTTACTTAATACACGTTTGATAAAAAGTAACTAGAACCATTCCAAAGGGACAAGTCACAATATTTCAAAGAAACAAATTTTTGTTTTTCTGGGGAAAAGCAGTACCTTTTGTTCACATTTTTTCTCACTTTAGGATACATGAAGATAAGAACAGTCACGCCTGCGCAGATCAAGGGTTCATCTAGCCCACCACTCAGATGTTACTAAGCACAGACCACTCTCAAAGGCCTATTTGGTTCTGTGTCAGTATTCATGGGGCAAGCCAGCACAAGAAGCTGCCAAGAAAGTCTGGCTTTCATGATTACTTTGCAAAAAAGTGAAAATGCATTTAAACCATACAGTGAAATCACAGTGTGCAAGCAAGGATTTCAGTAATAGAGAACCTTAAAATTCCCTTTACAGATTTTAAATTCCCATTAATGTGGCAGTATAGACGTTTAACACCTCTTATTTCACAATCAACTGAAACAGAAAAGCAAATCTGTAAGGTTTAACTTTAAACGGCCGCAGGCAAACATGTAGATAAGGCTGTTAGCTAATGCCTACAAAGAATATGTTGCTGAAAATCTCCCTGCCTTCCTGCTACATTCAGCACAAACTGTTTTCTCTCAGCACGTATATAATTTATTCCTCACCAACAGCTTAACTGAGCATGAAGCACACAGTCAGTGGAAAAAGTAGTTTCTGGATAATTTCAAGTTCTCAAGCATGATGTTGTTCTTGTATCCTATTTTCAGTGATGTTTTTCCACCATGTTATCAGATTTTCATTAAGAGACAGTTTTGTATAACCTTTGCAACACAAGTTACCTGGATTTCTGCTCACTTCTAATTGTTGATCGTTCTGATGAATCCATCTCTGGGCCCTAAGTAAAACAAAAAGTAAAATAATTCTTAATGCTTCTGCCTTAAAAATGGACAAAATCAAAACCAGATGTATTACTGTTAGCATTTTCTATTTATTCTTATCAAGTATTTTAAAATCAAGACTCTGTATGTCACATCCCAATTAAGCAACAAGCTGACAGAAAGAAAACTGACAAGAGTGTGTAAACTTGCCACAGCTCCATTCAAGCTCAGCTGATTGACATTTTGAAGCTGAGATATAGCTATAGATGCAGCTGAAAAATACTTGTGTCTAAATTCAAGATGAAATTTACCATAGCAACTAAAATGGTATTTCAAGTAAATTAATGCCTTTCTTGAATTTATTTTTTTCCATAATAATCAGTTGATTCAACCAAGTTTCTGGAAACCAGACTTCTGCAACACGTAATGACCATGAAAGGTCCCCTGCCAGCCACCTGGCTATTCTAGCAGACCATATAACATATAACATCAACAATTTATTTTCTCAACACGTATTTTAAGTAGAAACTTATTTCTGCATCATCTATATTGTCACTTGAACTGACATCTTGTCTAGCTGATGTCAGTGTCCTAGAACTGTCAGACAACCAACTTTTCTGAGTTTGTATTTTTTTTTTTTTAACTCTTACGTTTAACACTTTTGCATCATTACTGTTTGCCAACAGCTAGCCCTCTATGTTTCCAAAACGGAAAAAAAAGAATGCCACAAATTCATTCATCTTTTGCACAATTTCAGCAGATTCTGACATGTGAGGCAGAAAGCTGCACTTTTTAGACAACGTAAACTAAAGAAAGAACAAAAAGTTAAAAGGATACTTTCAAAAATTATAGAGATCATACAAATATTACATTAAAGACTAGAGGACTACAGGATCCCTCTGTACTGGCAAGCCTTTGTTTCTACAGACATTTCCTACTTACTAATAAAGAAATTAAAAACATTTACAATCTTGAGAGGAAAACATCTTTTCCCAAAACCACACTGATATACAAAGTAAAACGTTAAACTTAAATTTAATTTTTAAAAAATTCCCCTTACAAAATCAATTTTGCACAGGAATCTGAACAAGCTATCAGACAGTTCTAGAAAGAAAAAACTCAGCTGCCAACTGTAAACCTAGAATCGATACACTGGAGTTATTCTATGTTTGTACAGTTAGCAGCATTACAATTGTGTCTAGTACTCTGACTTCCATGAAACCACAGAAACATTTGCCCAGGAATCTGTGTTATAAACATGATGTATCAAATATATAAAATCAGAAAAGCAGTACCTAAATAACCAGGAATCTGGGCTCATTCATCTGGCAGTTCAACAAAACTTATGCAGGTAATCCCGAGTCTCTCCCCATCCTGAAATCCATACTGTGTGGATCTTTATTGGTTTTATTTTGTCTCCGTTGTCTCTACACTGGATTTGTGAGCTGCTATAAAACTCCTCCTCCTTGCAAGAAGCTCCTTGATCAGGCGAAATATCCAAAATATCATCCTTCTATAACAATCTCAAAAGTATAGAAAGCTTTCTTTTAGTCTCTCTCTACAACAACTTCTCAAGCCAACTTAAATCAAAAGCATAAAAAGGACTGCACCTTGGCAAGAAAATTTGGCTACAGTGTCATCACTCAGAAATCTCCAAGTTTCATTACATTAATTCTTGGGATTGTTTTTACAGGGATGTATTATTATTTGGCTTTGAAATACATCTTAGTTTGTGGTTGTGGAGATGGCAGACTGCAGACCTTAATCCCTCAAATAAGCATTCTGCCAGACCCTATGGCTCATAAAGCCACTTGACAGTTCTCAAATTCACATGCTGAAAGCTGATTTGTAAGCAAGAGGCCTAAATTTGGAGATCATCTGACCAAACAAACAAAAACAAAACAAACCAAAAAAAACCCCAAAGAAAATAACAAAAACAACCCCTCCTTTCTCCCCCTCACCCCCATGATAGAAGGACATCAGAATTTCTCAGGAAGACACACAGATCTCTTCTGCAAATGCTCGCAAGATGTCTTTTCAAGCATAAAAATCTTTCCTTGTTGTAATATTTATTTTCTTCCATCATCTAAAGAATGTTAGCACATTCAAAATTCAGAACAGTAACATTCTAGAGCAAAACCCTTTCTATATGGAAAAAATATTGAGTACACAATGCAAAAACAACACATGAAGGAAGTGCAACTTATTTATTCTGGAAAAGACTGTATTGTTTTATAACCCCATCCAGCCAAGTTTTGGGGAACAAATCCACGCCACCCCCCCCCCCCAAAAAAAAAAACAAAAAAACAAAAAAACAAACCTTTAATAATTACATTAGTAACTTACACAAATTAATAAAATAAGCATCTCACCACAGGATACTGTCAGTACCAATATTTCAGACCTCCCTGTTTCCCTATAACCCTTAAAGTAGCTTTCTGAAAGCAGCTGGGTGAACAAGTTGCAGCAATTATCACTCACAGGTAATAGCCAAGCGGCTGCAAATGATAGAGTTCAAACTTCTCCATGCCTTCGGGTACTGAGTAACTGTGACCAATCTTGAATATTCCATTATTCGATGGAGTAAACACTTCTTCCACTAGCATACCTAGAACAATAGAGGACCTGGGCACCAGCATTCCACACTGGTTTACCTTTACAAAGACACACTGGGCTAACCAGCGGCGGATGCGGTTGCTTTTCATCAACCCTTCCCCACGGCAGCCTGGAAATCAGACCCCGCTGAAACCAAGGTATGCCTGAAAATACGGAACGGCAGGTAGCTCTCTATTCCAAACACAAAGAGGGTTCATCAGAACAAATTTCTAATTTCAGATTTTCTTCCTTCCTTCAATAAAGTAAGTTTTATTTAAGGCTCTATACATTAAAGAAGAGCTCTGTTCACTGAATGAAACTTCAAGGCAACAGTCTGACTGAACCAAACGACTTTTCCAAGCAGTTTAATGTATGAAAAGAGCCTAAAATATTCAACACAAAGGAGAAGCACCGGGCAAACGGACGCCTCTGCCCCCTCCCCGCCGATTCTCTCTGGAATAACAGCAAGAGCAGGGGGCTGGGCAGGGCACTACTTTCTGCCCAGTTACTTTCCCCG